GAACTGGCCGTAAGAAACTTCTTTTTTATCAACTTATTAAGTTGGAGCACTATACTGGCTCTTGCTGAGTTTAGCAATGTTTATAAGTGTGTGTTAAACACATGACGTTTTCACGTGGACTGCGGGAAAAGGGATAAGCGAGACGACGGGACGGCTTTACGCCTGGGATAATATGATTTCAGCACAGATATTTTGTTGTTTGTTTTTTTTTCCTGGACTTCATTGCATGAGAAACAGAATTAACCGTTCTGCACTTTTGATCTGTTCGTATATATATATATATTTTTTTCCCATGTATCATTAGAAGTGGCTGAATGTAAAATTCAAAATTTCAAAAGTTCACAATGTGCTCAATCCATTGTTCTACAGTTCATTCTTAATAAACATTTCAATAAGAGATTGGTTTGTGTCTTTGGTCTGCTGGGATGGGGGAAAAAATATCACTCTGGAGGGTCTATTTACACCAGGGGTCTTCAAACTTGGCCACTTTAAGACTTGTGGACTTCAACTCCCAGAATTCCTCAGCCAGCCCTGAGGGCTGGCTGAGGAATTCTGGGAGTTGAAGTCCACAAGTCTTAAAATGGCCAAGTTTGAAGACCCCTGATTTACAAACAGGTAGTTTCAACTTGCGACCCCTTCGTTTAACGACTGTTTGAAGGTGCTGAAAAAAGTGACTTGCAACCGGTCCTCATACTTACGACCGTCACAACATTCCCCGCGGTCACATGATCAAAATTTGGCACTTGGCAACTAGCCTGTATTTTTATTATGATTTTAATCAACATTAAAACCCGTAATCCTCAACTTACAATAACTCGCTTGGTGACGGTTCAAAGTTACAACGGCATTGAAAAAATATGACTGACGCCCGTTTTTCACACTTACGACCTTTGCTGTGTCTGCAGAGTCACGTGATCAAAATTCAGATGCTGGGCAGCTGGTTCGTATTTATGACGGTCACCGTGTCCCAGAGTCACACGATCCCTTTTTGCGAACTTCTGACAAGCAAAATCCGGATTCACTTAACAGCCGCATTCACTTATCAGCTGCAGTGATTCGCTTAACAGCTGTGGCAACAAAGGCCATAAAATGGAGCAAAATTCAACCAAGGTCTCACTTAACAGCAGAAATGTTGGGGGTCAGATATGCTCATAAGTCAAGGACTACTGGTATACAGGGGTACCTTGGTCCTCAGCTGTTTTGAAATTCATCGAATTTGGTACTCAAATTTTGACGTGAAAATTTTGTCCTGATACTACTACTACTAACAATAATAATAATAATAAAGTTGGAAGGGACATTGGAGGTCATCAGATCCAACCCCCTGCTCAGGCAGGAAACCCTATACCATTTCGGACAAATGGCTGTCCAGTCTCTTCTTAAAAACTTACAGTGTTGGAGCATTCACCGCTTCTGGAGGCAGGTTGTTCCACTGGTTAATTGTTCTCACTGTCAGGAAGTTTCTCCTTAGTTCTAGGTTGCTTCTCTCCTTGATTAGTTTCCATCTGTTGCTTCTTGTCCTGCCTTCAGGGGCTTTGGAGAACAGCTTGACTCCCTCTTCTTTGGGGCAGCCCCTGAGATATTGGAAGGCTGCTATCATATCACCCTCGTCCTTCTCTTCATTAGACTAGACACTAAAGTGGTATTAACACTTCATGTGATCTTGATTCTGTCCCTGTGTAATTGCAGCCCAGCACTGTGTTGGCTTTTTTGGCAGCTGCAGCACACTGCTGGCTCCTATTTAAGTGATTGTCCACTAGGACTCCGAGGTCCCTCTCACAGTTGCTACTATTGAGCAAAGTACCCCCTATACTATACCTGTACATTTGGTACTCGTTGTTTCTTTTGTACACAACACACAAGCTAGAAGTTGCTGCTCTTGGCTGCCTTGTGACTCACTACATTTTTCCCTTACGGGAAAAATTTGGATATTCATCATCTTTGGTACTCCGCCTTGCGCCTGCCGGAATCAACTAAGGATGAATACCGAGGTACCCCTGTGTGTGCAAATTTAATAAAAATAAAAGGTATTTAGAATGATTGCAGCATCCCAGGGTGATGTGATCACCACTTGCAACTTTTCTGCCGGCTTCCGACCAGCAAACCGAGAAGCTGGATTGGCGTAAAAAGATTGTAAAATTGGCTGACTTAATGTGTCTGCATTGCTTAGTGACAGAGGTTCCAGTCCCAATTGTTGTCATAAAACAAGGACTATCTGTAATAATCAAATTTATTAAATGTATATGCTGCCTCTGACTCCCAGTGATTCTCAGCCAATTACAGTTGTTAAAACATTTTAAAAAAAACAAAAAACAGAATGAGACCAACAAAACCAAACCAGAACAACACAAAAGAACAATGGTGATAATAATAATAATAATAATAATAATAATAATAATAATAATAATAATAATAATAATAATAATAATAAACGCAGAGGGAGAATAAAAAGGAAGAAAGAGGCACCAATCAATACAAAATCAACATGCACAAATTGAACAATTCAGTACCTGAGCTGACCAGCTAGCATGATGTTGTTCACATCAATTGACAATCCTTTGGCTAAGGACGGTGTGACCTTTGCCGGTTTATAACACGCAATGTCACAGCATCTCTAGACCCTTGTTTGCAATTCCCCATGCATCCATATCTAACTGTATTAGATGTGAGATCCTTAGGGCTCTCTGAGCTTGTGGGTTTTTTGGCAGACATTTCATCACCCAACTAGGTAACATCATAGCGCCGATCGCCGAGATTAGACAACACCCAGGACTTCACAATCGAACCCAGAGCTACAAAACATTCTATTCGTATGTTAGATTTCCCCAATGTCACCCTCCCCAGGTTTCTTTCTCATCAGAACAGACGTTCAGGACGTGGGGAATAACAGAATATTAGAATGGGAAGGGACCATGGAGGTCCTCTAGTCCAACCCCCTACTCAAGCCAAAGATCCTACACCATTTTAGGCAAGTGGGCTGTCCAATTTCTTTCTAAAAACCTACAGCGATGGAGCACCCACATCAGACCCAAGATCAGATTGACTTAGGGCCTCTAGTGTTTTTTTCCCCCTCACGTTTGAAAACTTAAGAGATTTAAGTGTCGATGAAGGAGCCAAAGCTGCTAAGAAATAATTAAGAGTGGCAGGGTGGCAGCTGTGGACTGTGAGATTTTAAAATGCCTGTAACTTTAACTTGCTTTGAGGATGTAATTTGAGGCAATCTGAAACGTTAACAGCTTCGAATTTCAATCTGATCCATTGCCAAATGCTTTGGAGTGGACTGTCTAAATATAAACATTGTACATAAAGGACGAACTCAGAGATCTTTTTCATAACATAAATCATCAGGCCAATGGAGTGCTGCCAAAAAAAAACAAACCCACACACACACGCACAA